GGTTTTTCGATACCGGATTTCTTTGTGTAGTTGTAGCTTTTGGAGCCTGTCCTGAACTCTCTCTGTAGATCAAGATAGCCTTGTATTCAGAGATCTGCCTGCCTCTGCCTCCTGAGTGCTGGAATCAAAGGTGTGCACAACCACCGCCTAGCTCTTTTATATTTTTTCTAATGAGAGCCTGAAGGGAGTGGACCAGATGGGAGGAGAAGGAGGAACAAGGAGGAGTAGAGTAGAGGAATGGGAAACAATAATCCGTGAGGGAGAAAATGTTTTCAATAAAATGAAAATAAAATAAAAAGGAAAGGTCTCCTATAAACAAGATTTTTCTTGATGTTTCTCTCACATATTCAGCAAAATTTCTTCCATTTCCACTCTGTGCCTAAGCTACTGAGATGAGGACGTAGAATGAACTAGGCACTGTGCCAACTACCTGGCTCGGTCATGTTTGATCTTTAAAATTATTTCACAAATAAAGAGGCTGAGGCAGTAATGTATAAAAATAATTGGCCCTTGAGGGTGGGGAGGTGGCTCGGCAGTGCCAAGTGCAGGAAAAGCGGAGTTCTTGTCCTAGAACCCACAAAAGGAGTCAGGCATGGCTCCACACACCTGTAAACCCGGCCTGGAGGGAACCCTAAACAGGATCTCTGACACTGCAGGGTCAGAGAAAGAACCCACGTCCCACGAATAAGGTGGAGAGAGCTAGAGATACCTGATACCCAGCACCCTCTTCGGGCCTCTTTTCCCACAGGTGTGCAGAGGCCCACACAGCTGCATACACCACACACACACACACACACACACACACACACACACACACACACACATACACGCGTGGTTCCACATGATTAAAGAGGAAGGGAGCCGCCCCTTGCCCCCGCTCCACTCTTCTGCCTTTCACTTGAGGCCCCCAGCAAAGCTGAAGAACTTAGACCTCTTCCGTCATCCGGTGAGGATGAAAGGGATACACAGAGATAGCCGAGATGGTGGGAAACAGAGATGTGTGCCTGTGACCAGGGCCACTGCTCCCTCAGGCCTCCTCGGCAGCCCACTCATGGTCCTGCTGCTCATTCTGAATGTCCTTTGTTTACTTTTGGTCACTATGTCACTATTGCCGCTTTCCTCTCCTAATTGCTTCTACATCCATTGCATTTTGTCCTTATTTATCCTATCCGAGTAGTCAGGTAACCATCTGCAAACCGTGCAACATCTCTCATTGCTCACAGCGTTACAGCTGTGGCACTACTAGACCCAGAGAGAGCCTAGGCCAGCTAGCTTACAGTCACGGTATCTTGTTTAGTTCATCTGGGTCTCCATTTGGCCTACAAGTCTAAGACATCCTTGGGAGATATTTGTAGTCCCATGAATGCACAAGGTAAGGACAGGGCACCAGTGGGCCTCCCCACTTACAGCCTCTGCCCGGGTCTGTGATCGCATATCCGAGCCTTCCATATTTGGCCATCACTGGAGATTGTATATTCTATACGTGCCCCTCCCCTTTTAGCACTCATATAAATAATACTTTCTTATACTGTCAGAGTTCCACTTAAAACTTTTCTGCTTTTAAAATAGCAAATGTGTTCTTGCATCCCTTTGAGGTGCTTCTGGAAGGTTTTAGTTGTTTATCCAAAGGTCGAATAAGCTCAGGAACAAAATGGAATCAATCAGTAGCAAGAACTGGCTTCTTGTG